GCACGTTAAGAGACCATACAATAAGTGTCAGGGGCCCGAGACTGTTCAACTGCCTCCCAGCATACATAAGGGGGATTACCAACAGACCCCTGGCAGTCTTCAAGCTGGCACTGGACAAGCACCTAAAATCGGTTCCTGACCAGCCGGGCTGTGGCTCGTACGTTGGTTTGCGTGCAGCCAGCAGTAACAGCCTGGTTGATCAGGCTCTGATCCACCAGGCGGCCTGGTCACAAACCGGGCCGCGGGGGCGTTGACCCCCGGAACTCTCTCCAGGTAAACTCCAGGTACATAATTTAAGAAATTTGAACATTAAGTTGCAGTACTGGTCTTGCAAATGGGGAGAAGGAAGAGAACGAACGCTGTAGAAAGGGGAAGTGGAGCTGAAGCCCTCAATAACTTCCATCAGCCCCTCCAGATACAAATGCTGCTTAAAACAGCTTCCTACCTGGAGGTTACCTGGAGGTTATTCCGGGGATCAACGCCCCCGCGGCCCGGTCCACGACCAGGCCTCCCGATGGATCAGGGCCTGATCAACTAGGCTGTTACTGCTGGCCGCACGCAGTCCGACGTACGAGCCACAGCCCGGCTGATCCGGCACTGACTTTAGGTATCTGTCCAGCTCTCTCTTGAAGGCAGCCAGGGGTTTATTGGCAATTCCCCTAATGCTTGATGGGAGGCTGTTGAACAGTTTTGGGCCCCGGACACTTATGGTGTTTTCTCTTAGTGTACCAATGGCGCCCCTACTTTTTATTGGCGGCATTTTGCATCGCCTGCCCAGTCTTTTACTTTCGTAGGGAGTGATTTCTGTGTGCAGATTTGGGACCATTCCTTCCAAGATTTTCCAAGTGTAGATTATGATATATCTCTCCCTCCTGCGTTCCAACGAGTACAAGTCAAGTGCTTTCAAGCGTTCCCAGTAGTTAAGGTGCTTGACAGAACTTATACGTGCAGTAAAGGATCTCTGTACACTCTCTAGATCTGCGATTTCACCTGCTTTGTATGGAGATGTTAATGTACAGCAGTATTCCAGCCTAGAGAGAACAAGTGATTTGAAAAGGATCATCATGGGCTTGGCATCTCTCGTTTTGAAAGTTCTCATTATCCATCCTCTTGTAACCAGACTGCCACCCTAAGCCCCTAGTATATAAAACTTCATACCGAACTCTATCTAGTCTCGACTCGTACGAAGGTAACCGGCAACTCTCTGCGTAAAATTTTTCGGGCAAGACTCGTATTTGATTTTAAGGATTGGGATGTTAAATTCATACAAACGGGGTGCTGAACCTGTTATTCAAGCACTGCTGTTATTTCCATCAACATGGCTTGGAGAGTCAACATTTTCAGTGCTGCTGGGGATTAAATCAAAACGGATCAAATCTCAAAATACCTGAACATGATATTCGTTATGCAGTTGCCAAAGTTTTCCCTCGCATTAATGAACTTTGTGTGGGGGGGGGGGGAAACAGGCTCAACCACCTCGTTAGTATTCGTATTTAGTATATTATTTTGATAAGCTTTGTGTACTTTTACTTTTTAGTCATGATTAGTGTACGTATACATGTGTAGGGGACAAATCAACAAATTCAGAGTTCAATTTATCGATGCTATCAATAGTATAAAGTCCTTATATACCGTATTTCGCGGCTTAAAGACTAGTTTTAATGGCTCGGCATCGGCCGTAACTGGGAGAGCTACAGCCCACCCCACTCCCCAAAATTATAGCTCGTCACTGACCTTCAGTTTATAGGACGCAGGGTGGTTTACGGAGACGAGCGGGGGAAAAAAAAGTAATAAGCCGCGAAATACGGTAATCTCTACACAAATTGTAATATAAAATAAATATAATTTTATCAATTTTTGATACTTAATTTTTAGGAGTACGTGAGAACCTGTCAGTAAGTCCAAGGGGTACAGAGGTCATTCTGCACATTCACAATATCTCTGGTAGTCAGCTTGGATACAAAATCCTTCATGTAGTACCCGAGCAAAAAATTTCGGCATAACCAACCGTTAAGCCAGGATTGTCAAGAGTTCCTAGTCATCTCTAGGTAAGCAAGTTTATTTAGGTACAGGTCCACATAAGTACAATCATAAATAGTAACGTGCAATTACCTAAGATAACCCCAAAAATTCAGCTACTTAATTTCCATTGGGGTAGCCGTAGTAACGAACATGGAAGATATGGCCTGGAACATCAGAGGCGGACGTGACTAGCAACCCTGGTAAAGCGTTCAGCTACTAACCGAAAGTAGCTAAGCTTAATTCTCAAGAGTACATGGGGAAAAATTAACCTATAGTTTTAGCAAGCTTGCTCATTTAATATTTTAGGGACTCCAACATAGGAGGGCCCAAGCGAGGATGGCACTGAGGGGGGACGAAAGTGCCCAAGCCAGGATAGCACTGAGGGGGGACGAAAGTGCCCAAGCCAGGATGGCACTGAGGGGGGACGAAAGTGAGTGCCCAAGCCAGGATGGCACTGAGGGGGGGGGGAGGCTTAAAAATCTGAATAGAATAAAATCTTGGATGATTTTCTATGTGAAATTTCCTAGGACTGTTTACTTTTTTCAGTACCAAATGTCTTGAGCAGTGGAGATATTTAAATTTTGTGCATAAGAGAAAAGATCTTTCTTTATATAACCTTTCGTAATGATAACGATCATTCATTCACGAGCTATCCTGTCAGGGGTTCACCGTAGTCACAAATAAGCTTCTAAACCGCTAGTCTCACCCATTTTAAGACGCAGGCACTTAAATTTCAAAAGTTTAAATAAAATACATTAAATTTAGATAGCTTAAAGATACTACAAAATAAAGACGCATTTGCCTATTTGATGAGAATACTAACATTTTAATGATAGTTTACATGCAATTCATAATTAAGCCCGGTGGCTGGTGGCCTGGTGGCTAAAGCTCCCGCTTCACACACGGAGGGCCCGGGTTCGATTCCCGGCGGGTGGAAAACATTTCGACACGTTTCCTTACACCTGTTGTCCTGTTCACCTAGCAGCAAATAGGTACCTGGGTGTTAGTCGACTGGTGTGGGTCGCATCCTGGGGGACAAGATTGAGGACCCCAATGGAAATAAGTTAGAGTCCTCGATGACGCACTGACTTTCTTGGGTTATCCTGGGTGGCTAACCCTCCGGGGTTAAAAATCCGAACGAAATCTTATCTTAAGCGACGCCGAAATTCAGTGAATAAATACAATACATTTAGTAGGGAAACGTTTCACCACAAATGAGTTCTTCATTCAAGTTTTCTTCATAAATTTATCAGTGGATTCGTGTCTTGCCTACAATTTGCCGGTATCAGCACTTCACCATGCCAGATTTAAACTAGCGAAACGGACAGAAACCCATCCTGGAATACCTACGTGTTCCGGGTTGTCAACGCCCCCGCGGCCCGGTCCAGTCCTAAAATTAAAGCACTGGCTTGTTAATTTTAAGACTGGGTTGTCATGGGTTCAAATCCTGCTCGTTCCGAGTTGATTATACATGTCAGTGTATGAATAGAAAAGTGCAGCCTGAATTTAACGTCAATTTTAAAATTCAGGGTTGTGTTACTACACAAGCGAGTTTGTTCCCGCAGGAGAGACTTACTGTACATCTTTGTATAGCATACGTGGGAGACATCCAGAGACCTCCAAAAACGTACTTCAGAACACTAATACGCAAGCAGAACGGATGATCTAAGGAATGCCTGCGTTCAACACCGAAACTTTCATAACCATTTAATCAACTACAGAGGCCCAAGACTCATCGCCAGGAAGACACTCAGTACCGCAGAATTTTTTGGAATCGCTTATCTCAGTTATCTGTATATCTAACAGTTGCAACCAGAACAAGGGCTTCTACAACACACATGAACCCATTGCCAGGATACTTCATTATCCTACATAACATACACACCCTCACTTACCGTGCAGGTCTATCTGATTCAACATACCCAACATTCTCGCCCAGCCCTTGCACGTCCGTCTCCACTTGACTCTCCACCCTACACAAATACAGTTGCATATATCATCATACATATCAGCTTATGTATAGAGAACCTAGGATAACCCCCCCCCCCCCAAAAAAAAAAAAAAAAATCAGTGACATTTCCACTCATGTATTCTAAATTTACCCAGGTACCCGACCACCCTACACAAGGCCTAGACTGACAGTGGAACACTCCGGGACTACAAGACTATGATCATAACACTGGATTAGATCATCTTAGAGATCCTCAGACTCAGGATTAAGACCCATGTCAGGACGCAGTTTCTGACGACTAAATTTACCCAGGTAGATCTGTGACTTGATAAATCCCAGTGTTGGCTAAACGTAGTCAATGGATCACACGATACTGCATTTTTTTATTTTTCCATCGTGTCTGCATTTTATACCTTTGATCTCCATCGTATAGCATGTGTATTGTCTAGTTCATGAATAATGTACCGCTGGGAACAAACACACGGTATCCTTGCCAACACCTGCTTATATTCCCACAAAACTGCCAATAACATTGAGAGACGTTGCATTACTGATAAGAGGTAGGGAGGGAATCAGGATCGAGTATCATAATCACTTGGGGAATGTGTTGAGGAATGAGGATAAGTTCGATCCAAGGAAGGGGAGGATAAGTCCACTTCCTTCCGGCTCTTGAGGGTGGGGGGATTATTATTATTACAATCACAACTAAGCAATTTCACAAGGGTCATACAGCTTAAATATATGCAGAATTAATGCTAGTTTTTTTTAACCATAAAATCTAACGTAAAACATTTACTATCATTATTTTACTATCAGTGTACTACAAGATTTGAAATTACTAAGCCACATTTTTCAATCAACTTAGCCTTCAATTTTAAATAAATTATAAAAACCACAAAAATGTTGCACATTTTGAAGGTTTCAGTAAATTGAAGGTGCTGTCACGGGGGCGTTAGATAGCTGTCCTCACTCCACCGACAAGTTTTAACTTCTACAGAAAACATATTTGATACAATGATTATGTTACCTCGACCCTGGCCTTAGCAACCTCCTTCTCCCGCAGTTGCTGGTCCTGAGCCACAGCCGCAGGGGTACATAAGAGACCCAGCAGCAGCAGGAAGTAGAGTGTACCATCCATCATGGTGGCTCAGCTGGGACTGACTCTACTAAGCTACTGCCGCCAGTAACCATCACTATACATTATCCAGCGCTAAATGCTATTACATTGATACAGATATCTTGCCATACCAGTAATCACTCTATTTAGTAATAAAAATAAAATACCTATGTAAAAATAGTTGTTATTGTTTCTTGGGTTATATATCAAAATTAAATTATATAGCATCTGACATTCTCATAAAAATTACTTAAAAAATTTATTGAATTAGTTTTACGAGGTAGATATGTGAAATTTTTGTGCATAATTATTTAAATAGTGATTTATCTTTGTAATATTTTTTCTACCGAATGAATATTTCAATGCATTTTATAAGGTCTCGTTTGAGTACATAAACAAAACATGTCTCTCATATGCGCAAGTAAGTACAGTTTAAAATGACATTTCACATGAAAGTACATACAATTAATACGTTTATTCCTCTGCAGCAGCACACACAGTAACCCCTGATATGGGCGAGGTGATTACTTTGGTGTAATAAGAGACAGTTACAGTGTGAAGTGCATGTGAAGGTGATCACCGTTGACCACCTCTCTTTACTGCTTCATGTTACAATACAGCATAATAACTCCCTCATGGCGCTCTGGGCACACCCCATACCTCATAACGTTTTTCTAACTCATTTGTGAGAGACTACCGTCAAGCGGGGGTATCTTGGGGTTGATGACGGGCTTTACATCCAAAGAATTGGTGCCACCCTCCCTTGGATTAATCATCGTCGTGATTGAATGCTTTAACTCATAAAATGCTGCTGCTGACCACATCCTCCAAGAGTGATGGATGCCTTGATGCTGGTAAAAGGCTTTTGATTCAAGGAATTGGAGCCACCCTATTTTTCCCTGGATCAAACCTGATCACCTCCTATTACCTAGCCACTGTGTGGCCCTTACATATATAATGTTGTGCAAGAATGGTATATAATACCGACAAGATGAAATTAAGACACATGTGCAACATCTGGGTATCTTTATTGTAGACGTTTCGCCATCCAGTGGCTTTATCAATACAAATTCTAGGACATAACTTGAAGACAGTAGGACTATATACAGAAGATGAGGTAATCAGTCCCTCAACCTAGTAGGTGCGAAGAGCACCGTAGTCATGGAGAATCTCCACGACTACAGTTCGCACCTACTCCTAGGCTGAGGGACTGATTACCTCATCTTCTGTATATAGTCCTACTGTCTTCAAGTTATGTCCTAGAATTTGTATTGATAAAGCCACTGGATGGCAAAACGTCTACAATAAAGATACCCAGATGTTGCACATATATCTTAATTTCATATATAATGTTTTCCCACGAGTATATTAGTGTGAGCTGGTATTTCAAAACGGGAGTACAATGAAATTAGTCCTGAGCTTACCACAGCCACATATGCCCTCACATTATGAAACAAGCCCAGTGCTACTGAGTACATGATGTTTGTAGGATTGTTGACCCAGTGGTTAGAATGTTGTGAATTTTGACTCGCTTCTCTTGAAGCAGGCTAAAATAATGCAGGTTTGTGCCCCAGCTAGCAGCCATTTGTTAATATACAGACAGGCCCCACTTTACAGATCTTTGCTTTACAACCCCCTCAAGGAAGGTTCCTGGATGCTGGTGAGGGGCTCTTGATCTAGGGAATTAGATCTGTGCTCCAGTTTCCTGAATTGAGCCTGAATACCTTCCATTCCCTCCCCATGTGCATTGTATAATCCTTCGGGTTTAGCACTCCCCCATGATAATAATAATTATATAATTTGCTTTACAGCATTTTGCAAATACATGTACAGTATTTTTTAATTATACCCATGCTTCATTTATTCAGACTTCCTGCAATAAATATATTACCACTCACTATAAGCTAAGGACAACAATATTTTAAGATAATGTATGTACTGTGTATGCATTTTGTAGGCCTAGCCCTTTTGCTCACTTAATATATGATAGTGTAAAGATGTTATCAGGGTTTTATATGCATTTGAAAGTGAAAAGAGGCTATGTTTCACTTCACAGCAGTAACCTTAACCTGCTATATAAGCCCCGTTCCTCTCTGTCTCTGTCTATCTGTCTCTCTCTGTCTCTGTCTCTGTCTCTCTCTCTGTCTCTGTCTCTGTCTCTCTGTCTCTGTCTCTGTCTCTCTGTCTCTGTCTCTCTCTGTCTCTGTCTCTCTCTCTGTCTCTCTCTGTCTGTCTCTCTGTCTCTCTCTCTGTCTCTGTCTCTCTCTCTGTCTCTCTCTCTCTCTCTCTGTCTCTCTCTCTGTCTCTCTCTCTCTCTGTCTCTCTCTCTGTCTCTCTCTCTCTCTCTCTCTTTTTTTTTTTTTTTTTTTTTTTTTTTTTTTTTTTTTTTACACAGGGTTTGACAAGGTTAAGGATCCCTAGCTTTATTGACAGCTATATTACAGGTTAAGGATTCCTAACTTTATTGGCAAGCTAAGAGCTGTTACCTACATCAGCTCATTTGAAAGCATTTTTATTGTTATGAGACATACAAGTACAGGACAGGATGAAGTTGGAGCCATCTGTGGGCCAGCATTTTCATTTGATCAACTGACTTTATCTCGTTGATATCATTATGCTGTACGAATGTGTTCCATACTCGAGTCATCCTGGGTATGTATGATCTCAGATGGAGTGATGTTCTGGAGAAGGGTACAGCCAGAGTGAAGTTGCTGCTTTCTGCCCGTCTTGTGGCATAAAAGCTTGTTTCACGCTGTCCTCGAAGTGGATCCAAGTGTGGTATTTTGACAATATTGGCCTTGTACATAACAGTAAGGCCACCCACATCCCTCCTATGTTGAAGGCTCTGCTGAAATGACAGATCTATCCAGGATGGGTCCAGGCGAGAGATGAGACGTCTTGCTCTGTTCTCTACTCTGTCCAGCAGTCGCAGATGAGAGGGGGGGCAGGCAAACCAAGAAAGTGGAGCATACTCAAGGTGTGAGCGTACTTGTGCCTCGTACAGGATCTTGCAACACCACACCTCTTTTACACAGGGTTTGACAGGGTTAGGTTAAGGATCCCTAGCTTTATTGACAAGCTATTTACAGGTTAAGGATTCCTAACTTTATTGACAAGCTAAGAGCTGTTACCTACATCAGCTCATTTGAAAGTATTTTTACTTTTATGAAACATACAAGTAGGGAACAGGATGAAGTTAGAGCCATCTGTGGGCCAGCATTTTCATTTGATTAACTAACTTTATCTCATTGACATCACAATGCTGTACGAATGTGTTCCAGACTCAAGTCATCGTGGGGATAAATGATCTCGGATGAAGTGATGTTCTGGAGAAGGGTACAGCCAGAGTGAAGTTGCTGCTTTCGGCCCATCTTGTGGTATAGAAGCTTGCTTCTCACTGTCCTCGAAGTGGATCCAAGTGTGGTATACTTTGACAGTATTGGCCTTGTACATAACAGTAAGGCCACCCACATCCCTCCTGTGTTGAAGGCTCTGCTGAACTGACAGATTTAGCCAGGATGGGTCCAAGTGAGAGATAAGATGTATTGTTGTGTTCTCTACTCTGTCAAGCAGCTGCAGTTGAGAGGGGGGCAGGCAAACTAAGAAAGTGGAGCATACTCAAGGTGTGAGTGTACTTGTGCCTCATACAGAATCTTGCAACCCCTTCTGTCAAGCAGATGCGAGATATGGCGAAGTGCTGTAAGCTTCCTGGCTGCCTTGTTTGCAAGATTTACAACATAATTCTTCATGGTCAGTTTGGAGTCAAATTTCACCCCAAGGATATCAACTTCTTCCCCAGGTACCAACAACCTCCCATTCATGCTTACTACTGCACCGGCATTACCATCATGGTGCCTAGAGACCATCATCATCTGCATTTTCTCAGGTGCAAATGTTACTTGCCATCTGCTTCCCCAAACTGATATAGCTCTTAGCTGGTGAGTGATGTAGCTTAGAGCAGCTGGCATTTCTTCTCTTGGATAAGTGAATGTCAGTGCACAGTCATCTGCACATGCATGGGATTCTGGAATGAGGTGAAGAACATCATTGAAGTAGACATTCCATAACAATGGTACCAGAACTCCACCATGTGGAACACTTGCCCTAATAGGATGTCTCGCTGATTCCATTCCATTGAGAACTACCCTTAGAGATCTACCATGACTGTAATCACTCGGAGACATAGCGTAGAGCTTGCAGTTCACAGTGCTTGCAGTTTTGCTAAGAGGCCCTGGTGCCACACCTGATCGAAAGCACCAATAATGTCCAGTGCTACCACACATCTGACTTTGGATTCATCCAGTGACTGGTGTCATTTTGTGGAGAGGTTTAACAACAGATCAGCAGCAGAGTAACCTTTCCTGAAGCCATATTGACAGTCACAAAGTAGTGAGTGGTAGTCAAAAAACTCTTGTCATTTGTCTTGAGATTGTTGTCTCAAGGATCTTGCCAGTGAATGACAGGAGTGCCACTGGTTTGTAGTTGCTGATTTCTGCTCTGCTTTTCTTTTTGTGAACAAGGACTGCATTTGCCTCTTTACACAGAGAAGGCCATTTACCCTGTACTAGGCAGTGCTGAAAGATGCAAGTTAGAGGTGCTGCTAGCTGGTCTTCACATCATCTCAGTAATCTTAGGCTCAACTCGTCTGGGCCCACAGCCCAGGAAGGAAATACACCTCCTCCTGCCTTATTGTCACCACTAACAGTTTTGACACAGCTCTTGCAGCTAGCCAAGGAGGGTCCCTTGCTGGATCAGGAACTTGCACTTTGGGAGCAAAGTGTTTGGCAAAGAGGTTCACTTTCTCTTGAGTACTAGTAGACGTGGTCCCATCCTGTCGATTTAGTGGTGGAATGAGTTCATCAGGCAGATAACCTTGTCTGTCCTTGACCAGGGACCACCAGGTTTTGGAGCCTACTCTACCTGATTCTAGCTTTCTTTTTATGTCCACCTCCCATTTAGCAATGGCCCACTTTTGAACTTCACCCATATGCCTACAGGCTTGCTTGTGCAAGTTCCTGTTATAGGTGGTAGGATGTCCCTTATACCTTCACCATGCCTTATACTTAGCAGTAGCAGCCTCTTTACAATGAAAGCCAAACCAAGGCTGATCTGTAGGCTTCGTCACATATTGCCGCTGAGGAATGTGTTCTTGTTGAAGTTTAAGAATATGTCCAGTGAAGGCATTCACTTGGTTGTCAACATCCCCTAGGAGAAAAGCATTCCAATCTGTGGTGGCGAGCTCAGAGCAAAGGGCTGGCCAATTACCTCTTTCCCATAGCCAGGTTGTGCATGTGGACTCCTCACCTCGTTCAGTTGGGATCTTAAGTGTCGTAAAAACAGCCTTGTGGTCAGATGATGCAGCGTAGCCGAGGGGTTGACAAGTGACTATACCTTCTGCCAGATCACGCATTACTGGATCAAGAGAGGAGTCAGAGATGTGAGTAGGGAAATCAACAAAGTTTCTCATGTCAAATACTGCAAGAAGGTCATCAAAGTCCCTTTGTATAAGGTGTTGGTTGAGGTCACCAATAGTTATGATATGTTGACAGTTGTCTTGGAGCAGAAGGGAGTCCACATTTTCCATTAGGAAGTTGATGGGGTCTGCATGTTGCCACTGAGGTCTGTATATTGCACAAGCTAGTACAGAAGTACTAGTGTTTATGCATAGCTTGAAGAACATCATTTCAAGATGAGTAGGGATGGCAACATCAATGTGCTGGGTATGTACACTTTTAGAGAAGCACACAGCAACACCTTCTCCTTGCCCTTGCCTGTCTCTTCTCATCCATGATTTGTAGCCATCTCTCTATATATATATCTTCTCTCTCTCTCTCTCTCTCTCTCTCTCTCTCTCCTCTCTCTCTCTCTTCTCTCTCTCTCTCTCTCTCTCTCTCTCTCTCTTCTCCTTCTCTTCTCTCTTTTCTTCTCTCTTTTCTCTCTTTCTCTCTTTTTCTCTTCTCTCTTTTCTCTCTTTCTCTCTCTCTCTTTTCTCTCTTTTTCTCTTTTTCTCTTTCTCTCTTTTCTCTCTTTTTCTTTCTCTCTTTCTCTTTCTCTCTCTCTTTCCTCTTTCTCTCTTTTCTCTCTCTTTTTCTTTTTCTCTCTTTCCTCTTTCTTCTCTTCTCTTCTCCACTCTTTCTCTTTCTCTCTCTCTCTTTCTCTCTCTCTTTCCCTTTTTCTTCTCTTCTCTTCTCTTTCTCTTTCTCTTCTTCTTCTTTCTCTCTCTTTCTTCTTTCTCTTTCTCTCTTCTCTTCTCTCTCTTTCTCTTTTCTCTCTTTCTCTCTTCTCTTCTTCTCTCTTTTTTCTTTTCTCTCTTTTCTTTCTTCTTCTCTCCTCTTTCTTCTCTCTTCTTCTCTTTCTCTCTTTCTCTCTCTCTTCTCTTTCTCTCTCTTTCTCTCTCTTTCTCTCTTTTCTCTCTCTTCTCTCTCTTTCTCTCTTTCTTTCTCTCTTTCTCTCTTTCTTCTCTTTCTCTTTCTTTTTCTCTTTCTCTTCTCTCTTTCTTTCTTTTCTTCCTTTCTTCTCTCTTCTCTTTTCTCTCTTCTTTCTTTCTCTCTCTTTCTTTCTCTCTCTTCTTCTCTCTTTCTTTCTCTTCTTTCTCTTTCTCTTTCTTTCTTTCTTCTTCTTTCTCTTTCTTTCTTCTTTCTTCTTCTTTCTTTCTTTCTTTCTTTTCTTTCTTTCTTTCTCTTTCTTTCTCTTTCTCTTCTTTTCTCTTTCTTTCTTTTCTTTCTCTTCTTTCTCTTTCTTCTTTCTCTTCTTTCTTTCTCTTCTTTCTCTCTTTCTTCATCTCTCTTCTTTCTCTCTCTCTCTCTCTCTCCTCTCTATCTCTTCTATTTTATATATATATAATATATATATATATTATATATATATATATATATATATAATATATTTTTTTTTTTTTTTTTTTTTTTTTTCAACAAGTCGGCCGTCTCCCACCGAGGCAGGGTGACCCAAAAAAGAAAGAAAATCCCCAAAAAGAAAATACTTTCATCATCATTCAACACTTTCACCACACTCGCACATTATCACTGTTTTTGCAGAGGTGCTCAGAATACAACAGTCTAGAAGCATAAACATATAAAGATACACAACATATCCCTCCAAACTGCCAATATCCCAAACCCCTCCTTTAAAGTGCAGGCATTGTACTTCCCATTTCCAGGACTCAAGTCCGACTATATGAAAATAACCGGTTTCCCTGAATCCCTTCACTAAATATTACCCTGCTCACACTCCAACAGATCGTCAGGTCCCAAGTACCATTCGTCTCCATTCACTCCTATCTAACACGCTCACGCACGCTTGCTGGAAGTCCAAGCCCCTTACCCACAAAACCTCCTTTACCCCCTCTCTCCAACCCTTTCGAGGACGACCCCTACCCCGCCTTCCTTCCCCTATAGATTTATATGCTTTCCATGTCATTCTACTGTGATCCATTCTCTCTAAATGACCAAACCACCTCAACAACCCCTCTTCTGCCCTCTGACTAATACTTTTATTAACTCCACACCTTCTCCTAATTTCCACACTCCCGAATTTTCTGCATAATATTTACACCACACATTGCCCTTAAACAGGACATATATATATATATATATATATATATAATATATATATATATATATATATATATATATATATATATATATATATATATATATATATATATATATATATATTGTGTGTGTGTGTGTGTGCAAAACAAACCACTCTGAAAAAATCAAGTTCCTTGATAATGTGAGTAGTCACGAAAGCGCTTGGAATTTCTCTTATTTTTTTCAGAGTGGTTGTTTTGCATATTCTGAAATCACCTGTTTACTGTGATCTTATTGCATATATATATATTAATATATATATATATTATTATATATATATATATATATATATATATATATATATATATATATATATATATATTATATAATAATATAATCTCTATCTCTATATCTCTATATCTCTCTATATATATATCTCTCTATATCTCTCTCTCTCTCTATATATATCTCTCTATATCTCGCTATATATCTCTCTCTCTCTCTCTCTCTCTCTCATGTGTGTATTTTAATATCAAGCTTTTGATTTTTTTTTTTTTAGTTTCTCAGCACTAGTCATGGACCAGGCCATAGAAGTGTTGGCCCCCAGAACACCCCTTGAATCTTGAAATATATTCAATGTACTTTTAGTGTACAGTATTTTGGATCCAAATGAAGCACTACTGACAACATTGAAAAAATGCTACAGAGCAGTTGTTTCAATGTTAGAGTTTTATTAAATTATGAAGCTCTAGCTGAGTAAAATATCTCAATAAAAGCATGTGTTGAAGAAATATGTCTTTTTCTCCATTACCCTGTTGGACATTATTCAATTTATTCTTAATGAAAGATTTCAATCAAAATTAAGGCTTTTGTCATTTTTAGTAAGCAGTGAAGTGCCAGATCAGCCAGTGGTGTCACCGCTGTCTGGCGCTGTCTTTGAACGTCGCCTGCTTGAAAAATACATTGCGGAGAATGGCACAGATCCTATTACCAACAAAGAACTTACAGTAGACCAGCTGATTGAACTTAAAGGTATGTTCAGTATTGTTTTCAGTATACTTTAAGTGGTAAGTATTTACTCCTGCCTTGGTAAATGATTTGTTAATACTGTTGTCATTGAATGTTGCAATTACAATGATCCATTTCTAGTTGCTTATTATTTATAAATTATTCTATTAACTTAATGTTCAGTTTATGTAAAAATTGTGTGATATTACAAGTATTACACTGAGTATTGGGACCTATATTTGAGCTAAGCTTTTAATATTTTAGTAATTTTATATGTTTTGTTTTCCCAGTGGTTTTATTAATTGATAATCCTTAAAGTAAATCAGGTATATAGCCTGTATCTCAGCTGAATATAAAATGAGTTTAATTTGCTAGCTACAGTATTTTCTTTTATGGTAGTGCCACCTGTGGCTAAGCCAAAACCTCCAAGTGCCACAAGTATTCCAGCTATTCTAAAGGCCCTTCAAGATGAGTGGGATGCTGTAATGCTTCATTCCTTCACCCTCCGCCAGCAGCTTCAGACTGCTCGCCAAGAACTAAGGTGAAATCTTTCTATGTTCATAGTTATATCTGCCATTCTGTTGTCTACATTTTTTCTTGTTAGAAGTAAGGTAGAACATTGTGCATCAGTCTCCTAATGTCAGTGTTATTATATGTTGATACAAAGATATTCTTCCACAATACTAAAGGACTTCATCATGTTTTCTGTGTGCACCTAAATAATTTACTTTTTGAGATCAATGCCAATATTTCATCTGCACTCTTTGGACAGGCATAGAATTGGGGGCATATGATGGAAGTGTATACTGTAAATAGAAGACAGAAATAAGTAAAGGAATGTAAATAATGAGTTAAAAATATCGAACCAAGACAGATCTCGCAACAGTGGGTTCAAGTTGGAAAAATTTGGATTTATTAAGGATGTAGGAAAGCATTGATTTGGTAATAGTGTTGTGGATGAGTGGAGCAAGCTCCCGAGTAGAGTCACTGAGGCAAAAACCTTGAGTAGCTTTAAAACTAGGTTAGACAGGTACATGAGTGGGTGTGGGTGGGTGAGTTGGACCTGTTTAGCTTGGGCCAGTGGGCCTGCAGCAGTGCTTCCTTCTTAAGTGAGTGTGACTTGGGCCTTCTTAGCATGGGCCAGTAGGCCTGTTGCAGTGCTTCTTATGTTTTAATAATCATTGGAAAGAGGGAGGTAAAGGAGGTTTTGTGTGCGAGGGGCTTAGACTACCAGCTAGCATGCATAAGTGTGTTAGATGGGAGCAAGTAGAGGCAAATGGCTTTTATGACTTGATGTGCTGTTGGAGTGGGAGCAAGGTAACATTTATGAAGGGATTCAGGGAAATCGGTTAGCCAGACTTGAGTCCTGGAAGTGGTAAGTACAGTCCCTGCACTCTGAAGGAGGGGTGGAGATATGTTGCAGTTTTTGAGCTATAGTATCTGCACACCTTTGGCAACAGTGATGAGGTGAGTGATGATGAAAGTGTTTCTTCATTTTTTGGGTCACCCTGCTGTGGTGGGAAATGGCCAATGTGTTAAAATTCATTCTCAAAGTAATTAATTTTTAAACACCTTTCTTTCATCAGCTCACTGACTACACGTGCACTTCTTGTTCTGTGGTTGTCCTTTCTACCCTGTGCCTCCTGCACACTCAACATTGTTGAATGGTTGCACAGGTGTTTCTCACTAAAGAGGCCTGAAGATCAATTCTCAAGGTTATTTTATAATAATCATGTTTGTCTCATGTTTCCTTAATTGTAATTTATTTTAATATGCACTGTGATGAGAGGCTGAAAGCCATAATGATGCTCATGCTGGCCAGTAGGTGGAAAAGAGGAGACATAACATCATGACATGAGCAGTCAGATTTTTTATTATCTGCATCAGGGATAATGAGGAATCAGTTTTAAACTGAGAGGAAAATGGGGGTAAAGGTATATATGCGCTAGGAATTTTTTCTTCACATACAGAGTGGTACTCTATGGGAATGTGGAGAAGAATCCTTCCTCCATAAGCCATGCTTATCGTAAAAGGCAACTGAAATGATGATAGTAAGGGGCTAGTAACCCCTTCTTTATAAATTAATAAAGGGTAAAAAAAAGAAAAACTCATTTCTTCTTTTTCGGGTCACCCCTGACTCGGTGGGAGACAGCCAGTGTGTTAAAAAAATACAGAGTTATGGTAGATCAGTGGAATGAATTACAAGAGGATGTACAGTAAAAAGTGCTTTAACGATTGAATTTTTTTTTAAATTATAAGATGAACAAGTTATTGAAGATAGAACACTATGAGCATAGCTCTACTCCTGTAACTGCCAATAGGTGATTGTAAATAGATAATTACAGCCTCTCCTCACTTAACGACGGAGTTCCGTTCCTAAGACTACGTCATTCAACGAATTCGTCGCTAAGTGAGGAGGATACTATAATGATAGTGGGTTTGTGTCATCCATCTTTGATATTGTTTTAATGTCACCTTTGCACCATTTATAACATTTCTGGTATATTTTTAAATGTTTATACAGTAGTGTACTGTATATTGAAATAAACAGAATAGAGGAAATCAGCTCTTATATACATTATTTAGGTATAAATACTGGTCAGAGAGCCTGTCGTAAGTCCAAGGCGTCAGTAAACGAGTACGTTGTTAAGTGAGGAGGGACTGTACTAGTTTCATTTATATGTTCCTTACTATTCTTTCCTCATCCATTTTTACATGTTTTATCCCATATTGTTAAAAAACACTCTTGACCTCTTTCCTATAAAGACGTGTATTTTTGGCTTTCATGTTTTTATTAAAAAAATCAGTCCAGAAAGGTGAATATTTTAGATATGTTTTGCCAGTAAAAAAATACTATAAGTATTGTGGTGCCAACACTGTTATATGGGTGTGAAGCATGGGTTTTGAATGTTGCAGTGAGGAAGAAGCTGAAGGCAGTATAAATGTCGTGTTTAGGGGTAACGTGTGGTATGAATATTATGCAAAAAATTCTTGAGTTTGGAGAGTAGGAGGTGTGGAATTACAAAATGTATTATTCAGAAGGCTGAGGAAGGGTTGTTGAAGTGGTTTTGGATATTTAGAGGGGATGGAGAAAAATAGGATAACTAGGAGGATGTATAAATCTGGGGAGGAGGGTAGGAGGGAACGGGTCACTAGGAAAGGCTGGAGGGAATGGGTAAAGAGGTTTTGAGTGAGCATGTTAGGAAAGATTTATGTGAGCATATTAGGAGAGATTGGAGGGAAGTAGTTTGTATGATTTGGCATGTTGTTGAAGTGTGGGCAAGGAAGCCTTTATGAAAGGATTTAGGGAAACCACTTAGCCAGACATGAATCCTGGTGGGACTGTGGATTAGAGGGTCATCTGAACTGTGATGTTCGTGCCCTTCTTGCAGAACTGTAATTAAATGAGTAACAGTGAATGCGTTTTCTTTTTTGTAGGGAACCCCATCTCGGTGGGAGATGGCTGGAGTGTTAAAAAAAAATCAGGAAATGTAAATTTATGTTTGTCTTGAAATTAATTGTATCCTCATATTTTACATGTTACATTGAGTTCTTTGCTACAATTGGACAATCTGTAACTACAGGCTTTTTTTTTTGAGGAAGCTTGTTTAGTAAACCTCATTTAAATTAGGTCTCAAATTTGTAATAAAATTTATTACATTCCTTAGTCATGCTCTGTATCAGCACGATGCTGCTACCCGTGTGATCGCTCGTCTTAACAAGGAAGTAACTGCCGCTCGTGAGGCCTTGGCAACACTCAAACCCCAGGCTGGTATTGCACCAGCTGCCCCTGCTGGACCTACAATTGTAAGTTAATGCCTTCCTGATTTATTAATGCCTGCCATTTTAAGTATGTTGTTTTTATTTGTATGAAAGAATTATTTTAGAATTTCACCAAATTACTAATTTTATAAGCATACTTAAATTTACAAATGAAAAATTTAAGTGATATCAGTGCTAAAATCACACTTTTCATTTTAATTAAAACTAATATTATTATTATTTTGGTGTCATTACCACCGGGAAAAGTTTCTCTATCATTTCATAGTTTTTTTTTTTTTTTTTAATTCTTCGACACTGATAGCAAGTTTGTGAGCAGGGGTCTTGACAGTGAAAGGGTTAAACAAGTTATAAAATGGAAGAAGATAGTTAGGAATAGACCAATAAGCAAATGCTGAAGATAAATATAAGATAAAGATAAGATAAGATAAGATTTCATTCGGATTTTTAACCCCGGAGGGTTAGCCACCCAGGATAACCCAAGAAAGTCAGTGCGTCATCAAGGACTGTCTAACTTATTTCCATTGGGGTCCTTAATCTTGTCCCCCAGGATGCGACCCACACCAGTCGACTAACACCCAGGTACCTATTTGCTGCTAGGTGAACAGGACAACAGGTGTAAGGAAACGTGTCGAATGTTTCCACCCGCCGGGAATCGAACCCGAGCTCCCGCTTCACACACGGAGGGCCCGGGTTCGATTCCCGGCGGGTGGAAACATTCGACACGTTTCCTTACACCTGTTGTCCTGTTCACCTAGCAGCAAATAGGTACCTGGGTGTTAGTCGACTGGTGTGGGTCGCATCCTGGGGGACAAGATTAAGGACCCCAATGGAAATAAGTTGGACAGTCCTCGATGACGCACTGACTTTCTTGGGTTATCCTGGGTGGCTAACCCTCCGGGGTTAAAAATCTGAACGAAATCTTATCTTATCTTATCTTCTTATCGCTATACAGAAGCATGTTATGCTAATTTAGAGCTATTTTGGATGACTATGCAAGTGAAAGTTGTGATTTATGAATATATATATCTTTTTCTTGCGAGGGTCTTGGCAAGAGGCGTGGAGTTAAAAGATAAAGAATCACACACAAAGTGGGAGTTGTCACAGCTGCTCTTTGCCGATGACACTGTGCTCTTGGGAGATTCTGAAGAGAAGTTGCAGAGATTGGTGGATGAATTTGGTAGGGTGTGCAAAAGAAGAAAATTAAAGGTGAATACAGGAAAGAGTAAGGTTATGAGGATAACAAAAAGATTAGGTGATGAAAGATTGAATATCAGATTGGAGGGAGAGAGTATGGAGGAGGTGAACGTATTCAGATATTTGGGAGTGGACGTGTCAGCGGATGGGTCTATGAAAGATGAGGTGAATCATAGAATTGATGAGGGAAAAAGAGTGAGTGGTGCACTTAGGAGTCTGTGGAGACAAAGAACTTTGTCCTTGGAGGCAAAGAGGGGAATGTATGAGAGTATAGTTTTACCAACGCTCTTATATGGGTGTGAAGCGTGGGTGATGAATGTTGCAGCGAGGAGAAGGCTGGAGGCAGTGGAGATGTCATGTCTGAGGGCAATGTGTGGTGTGAATATAATGCAGAGAATTCGTAGTTTGGAAGTTAGGAGGAGGTGCGGGATTACCAAAACTGTTGTCCAGAGGGCTGAGGAAGGGTTGTTGAGGTGGTTCGGACATGTAGAGAGAATGGAGCGAAACAGAATGACTTCAAGAGTGTATCAGTCTGTAGTGGAAGGAAGGCGGGGTAGGGGTCGGCCTAGGAAGGGTTGGAGGGAGGGGGTAAAGGAGGTTTTGTGTGCGAGGGGCTTGGACTTCCAGCAGGCATGCGTGAGCGTGTTTGATAGGAGTGAATGGAGACAAATGGTTTTTAATACTTGACGTGCTGTTGGAGTGTGAGCAAAGTAACATTTATGAAGGGATTCAGGGAAACCGGCAGGCCGGACTTGAGTCCTGGAGATGGGAAGTACAGTGCCTGCACTCTGAAGGAGGGGTGTTAATGTTGCAGTTTAAAAACTGTAGTGTAAAGCACCCTTCTGGCAAGACAGTAATGGAGTGAATGATGGTGAAAGTTTTTCTTTTTCGGGCCACCCTGCCTTGGTGGGAATCGGCCGGTGTGATAATAAAAAAAAAAAAAAAAATAAATATCTTTTTCTTAACCCTTTCACTGTTGGTGATGTATAGGTACGGCTTACAAGCCAGTGTCAGTAACGCATTAATATGCCAAAATTCTAGCTGTATCAAATCTTGCGGGAGAAAGCTGGTAGATCTACATTTGAGAGAATGGGTCTGCGTGGTCAGTGTGTGCAGTATAAAAAAATCCTGCAGTAAGTAGTGCATAATGAGAAAAAAAAAACTGACCGTGTTTTTGGTTTAAAACGCCGACTTTGAGGTGTATTTTTGTAGGGTATTTATGGCTGTATTCTCGTTATCTTGGTCTCATTTGATAGAATGGAAGATATATTACAGAAATAGAGATGATTTTGATTGGTTTCATAATGAAAAGTAACTTGAAATTGAGCTCTAAGTAGCAGAAATGTTCGATTTTTGCCGATGTTCAAGAGTAAACAAATGACGTCACCTTTCAATGTGTGTCCAACTGGCCAGTTTGATACACAGTCACGAATGGGTTGACATTATTTATACAATTATTGTAATAATGTAGTAGTCTCAGTAGTAGTAACCAGTTACCAGTCTCAGTAGTAGTAACCAGTTACCAGTAACCTGTCCGTTGACTCAACGACCAACCGTCTTGAGTCACGGTCTTTCATATTGTGCTGAGCTGACACTATTTCAAAAGACCCACTACGGGGTACTGGCCAGCCGGCTAGTCAGTATTACGAGTGTGAGCAAGGAGATAGGTAACGGCTGCGGGCTCTGTCCACATAACAGTAATTATACGTAATAACAGCCTACGTGAGTATTTCTACCCTAATCCACGTATCGAACTCCCACATGATAAATGCTGTTATGTGGACAGAGCCCGCAGCCGTTACCTATCTCCTTGCTCACACTCGTAATACTGACTAGCCGGCTGGCCAGTACCCCGTAGTGGGTCTTTTGAAATAGTGTCAGCTCAGCACAATATGAAAGACCGTGACTCAAGACGGTTGGTCGTTGAGTCAACGGACAGGTTACTGGTAACTGGTTACTACTACTGAGACTGGTAACTGGTTACTACTACTGAGAGTAGTCTGCATAACAGTAAATCTTCTATTTTTTGTGTGAATAAAAATTCAAAATGGAAAACAAGAGTAATATGAGGGGCCTAGAGACATGGCTAATAAACAGAGAAAATTTTATTTTAGTGCCAATAATGTCTGCATTGTTTATTCTGGACCCTATTTTGAAATTGGCATCTTTTGAAATTTGTGTGAAATTGGCAAAATTGCCAATTTCTGACCACTTTATTGGGTAGTTGAAATCAGTAAATGGGCAGTTTCTTGTACTCAGTCAATAGAACAAATGGAGTTCTCTAGCGAAATAGCTATGAGTTTGGTCAACTGGGACAATGGAATTGGCTGAAAATAAGACTCAAAGTGGGTGAAATCGCTGATGCGTATATATCGCTGAGACTGCTAACTTTGCGAGAGCGTAATTCCGTAAGTTTTCCATCAGCTTTCGTACTTTTGGTGTCATTACCACCGGGAAAAGTTTCTCTATCATTTCATAGTTTTTTTTTTTTTTTTTTAATTCTTCGACACTGATAGCAAGTTTGTGAGCAGGGGTCTTGACAGTGAAAGGGTTAAACAAGTTATAAAATGGAAGAAGATAGTTAGGAATAGACCAATAAGCAAATGCTGAAGATAAATATTGTACAGCAAATTTTTTTTATTTATTTTTTTTCAACACATCAGCCGTTTCCCACCAAGTCAGGGTGACCCAGAAAATAGAAAAACCCAAAAAGAAAGAAAAAACTTTCATCATCATTCAACACTTTCACCATCACTCATACATAATCACTGACTGGTTATCCTCGATCCCTTCACGGAATATTACCTTGCTCACTCCAACAGCTCATCATCTCCCAAAATTCATTTATCTCCACACACTTCTAACATACTCACACATGCCTACTGTATGTCTAAGCCCCTTGCACATAAAGCCTCTTTTACCCTCTCTCTCCATCCTTTCCTAGGATGACCCCCCACCCCACCTTCCCTCTACTATAAATTTATGCACCCTCCAAGTCATCTCATTTTTCTCTTTCCTCTCGGAATGGCCAAACCACCTCAACAATTCCTCCTCAACCCTCTGGATAATACCTTTAGTAACTCAGCATCTTTTCCTAATCCCCACACTACGAATTCTCTGTATAATATTTACGCCACACATTGCCCTCAGATACGACATCTCCATTGCCTCCAGCCTCCTCCTTGCTGCAACATTCACAATCCATGCTCCACACTCATATAAGAGTGTTGCCACCATTATACACTTGACCCATTCTTGCAATTTGACTATGTACATTAAAAAGCAATTTTGTGGTTAACTGACAGGCTGCTACAGCTGAAGCTGGTGGTGCAGCAGATGTACCAAGTGAAGGTGCAGGGCTGACAGAGGAAGTGGTGGCCCGCCTGCAGGACACTGCTACAGTGTTGACACAGGAACGTAAACGACGTGGTCGCACAGTTCCTGAGGGACTCACTCCAGCAGAACAGATAAGGGGTTTCACCACCCTTGCGTCTCACCCTGTAAGTAATAAATACTATCCTTCCAATAACCTTTGAAGGTTTTAAATGCTCTGAACTAAGTTTCATAGATTTTTAAGTAGACTTCATGAATTTTAATTAATGCAGTAGTTATTCTGGACTTGTGTTATTAGAAATAGATGCTCCTGACAGTTTAGTAGGCATAAATTAAGATGTAGTATGAGAATAACAGATAGGAAAATAGGTACTGAAGATGCATTTTTATAAGGAGTAAAAAAACCAAGGATATAAGGATAATATTTTTTTATCTTTGACAAGAAATGCAATTTATTTCTTATAAAGTGACTGCCTATGATTAGAAATCACTAAATTGCTAAAATGGCTACCTAGTATTAGTATTTATTTTGAACATCAGACACTAAATAATCAGTGAGGGAATAACACACTTGCTGGTGCTTGAGTTTTCCTAACACACATCACTCGCTCATACTTCTCTCTGATCATGTTACTGATGAGTCTTTGGTTGTTCCTGTAGGCTGTATGTGCATCAGTATTGTATACCATTTCTCTTCATGTGCATAGGGCTAAAATTGTAATTTTAAACTGGAATTTTACTCCCATTTTTGGGCTTATGCTAATGCTTATGAGGATAGCACAGTAATGTTACTCTTGCTGTGCATCCTGATTCCTCAGGTAAGCAAGATAATGTATAAAACCTGTGAAAATTTCCATAACTCTTGATGTATGTCCACACACTTTAACCTGCACATCCATTACTTGGCCATCTAGTAAAATTTTGAACAGAAAACTTTTTACTATTAATTCAGGAGAAAGATTCATCTGGGAAATTGGGAAATAGATAAATGGATAGATGCTATCCATAATTTTAGTTTAAATAAAGAAAGATTTATGCTTTATTTGGAAAGTGATTATTTGAAGGCTATAAAAATAAACTGTAAATGGACCTGCTAGCAAAAAGTAATGATAATGTGCCTTTTACTGAGAAAAATATCCAAAATTTCATACAATATTCCCATGGTTGACCGCAGCAATTTAAGAAACGAATGTATTCATCATATTAACCTTTCTGGCAAATAGGCATATGCAAATTAGTGTCCTGTCCAGAATTATTTATTCATAATAGATTAATATACTTTCTAACCGTGAGACATTCATGGGTAGTCTGAAAGAATTCAGATTGATGGTTACTGTGTTGACCTGTTCCAAATGTAGCTAGCCTAATTAAAACCCAAGACCCCTCAAGTCTGTCAAAATATTGCTTGTTATTTATGATGCAAAGCAAAATAAATGGATTACATAAGTGATTAGCAACTAGTGTTTTGAGGTCATGTTCTGCATGAAGCCAGGCAGCATACTAAGAAAACAGGACTCTAAAACCAAGAAAATACTATTACTTGACAAATGTTCAAAATAATTGTTTTTAATGCACTGGCCATCTCTCACTAAAGCACGGTGACCTGAAAAGAAAATATAAGGTTTTTTCTTTTTCTTCTTCTTCTTTCAACAAACTGGCTGTATCCCACCAAAGCAGGGTGGCCCAAAAAGTAAAGCGAAAGTCTCTCTTTTTAACCCAAGTAATGTATACAGGAAAAGGGGTTACTAGCCCCTTGCTCCCGGCATGTTAGTCAGCTCTTATGACAAGCATGGCTTACAGAGGAAGAATTCTTCTCTACTTTCCACTAAGTAATAATATTTTTATTTTATAATATATAGTTATGTTATCTCTTATATACTAGAGTTCTTTTAAAAAGCCTATATTCCACTCACTATTTTGGGCAAGTCTTCATCTAACAGTTTTTGAAATTGGGTTAGTTAATTATATTAACAATTCATTGGCAATGTAATAACAAAAATGGCCAACTTTAGTTATTAAATCTGAAAAGATATTTTGTAGCTGAAGCTACATTAACAAAAAGCACTTATTACATTTGTACAATGGAATGGCTTCCAAGATATAAGACCTCGAGCTTCCCCTGCTGCTGTAGCTAAAATAGACTATTACATGAATGCATTTCATATGTTTTAGAAATATAATACATGTATATATGATGTTTACACTCATTAGGGAAGTGGAGCAGAATTCTTCCTCCGTATGCCATGCATGTCATAAGAGGCAACTAAAATGCCTGGAGCAAGGGGCTAGTAACCCCCTTCTCCTGTAAATATTATGTACTAAATTTAAAAAGGGAAACTTTTGTTTTTCTTTTTGGGCCATGCTGCCTTGGTGGGATATGGTCAGTTTGTTGGAAAAAACAAAATTATTATAATAAAAAAGTTAAGAAGTTGGTCTGCTAATTCTAAAATAAAAAAGCAATGTGGCAGATGTTGCAAGTAGTATATGGAATAGGTAGTAAGTTATTAAATACTGTAAAGATTTTTTATGAGGATAGTGAGGCTCAGGTTAGGGTCTGTAGGAGAGAGGGAGATTACTCCCCAGTAAAAGTAGGTCTTAGACAGGGATGTGTAATATCACCATGGTTGTTTAATATATTTATAGATGGGGTTGTAAAAGAAGTAAATGCTAGGGTGTTGGGGAGAGGGGTGAAATTAAATTATGGAGACTCAAATACAGAATGGGAGTTGACACAGTTACTTTTTGCTGATGATACTGTGCTTATGGGAGATTCTAAAGAAAAGTTGCAAAGGTTAGTGGATGAGTTTGGGAGTGTGTGTAAAGGTAGAAAGTTGAAAGTGAACATAGATAAGAGTAAGGTGATGAGGGTATCAAATGATTTAGATAAAGAAAAAATGGATATCACATTGGAGAGAGGGATTATGGAAGAAGTGAATGTTTTCAGATATTTGGGAGTTGACTTGTCAGCAGATGGGTTTATGAAGGATGAGGTTAACCATAGAATTGATGAAGAAAAAAAGGTGAGTGGTGCGTTGAGGTGTCTGTGGAGACAAAAAAACGTTATTCATTGAGGCAAAGAAGGAATGTACGATAGTGGTACCAACACTTATATGGGTGTGAAGCTTGGGTTGCAAATGCTGCAGTGAGGAGGCGGCTTGAGGCAGTGGCGATGTCCTGTCTAAGGGCAATGTGTGGTGTAAATATTATGCAGAAAATTCGGAGTGTGGAAATTAGGAGGAGGTGTGAAGTTACTAAAAGTATTAGTCAGAGGACTGAAAAGGGGTTGTTGAGGTGGTTTGGTCATTTAGCGAGAATGGATCAAAGTAGAATGACTTGGAAAACGTATAAATCTGTTGGGGAAGGAAGGCAGGGTAAGGGTCATCCTTGAAAAGGTTGGAGAGAGGGGGTAAAGGAGGTTTTGTGGGCGAGGGGCTTGGACTTCCAGCAAGCATGTGTGAGCTTGTTAGATAGGAGTGAATGGAGACGAATTGTTTTTGGGACCTCATGATTTGTTGGAGAGTGAGCAGGGTAATATTTAGTGAAGGGATTCAGGGAAACAGGTTATTTTTATATAGCCGGACTTAGAGTCCTGGAAATGGGAAGTACAATGACTGCACTTTAAAGGAGGGGTTTGGGATATTGGCAGTTTGGAGGGGTATGTTATATATCTTTATATATGCTTCTAAACTGTTGTATCTGGGCGCCTCTGCAAAGACAGTGATTATGTGCGAGTGAGGTGAAAGCGTTGAATAATGATGAAAGTATTTTCATTTTGGGGATTTTATTTCTTTTTGGGTCACCCTGCCTCGGTGGGAGACAGCTGACTTGTTGATTTTTTTTTTCAGGGTTTGCACAGTGCATCAGTACCTGGCATCCTTGCTGTGGATGTGCATCAGAAAGACACAAGCAAGATAGTCACCGGTGGTAGTGATAAGAATGCTACTGTTTTCAACAAGGACACTGAACAGGTTGGAATAACTGTTTATTAACTTCATTTGTTTGGCAGTACTAGTAATAAGATATACCACCTCCAGAATTTTCAATCCATGATTCAGTTATCAAAGCAACCTTAGCTAAATGTGATTGTTCACTTGCAACAGTTGATTGACTAGAAACTGAAACCTCAGAAGATGATCACTTGCTTTTATACTGAATGTAAGTGCATAGCATGATGAACATAGTTACGCATACTGTTAATTTTCAAATCCATTGTAAAATTTCTCATAAGGATGAAGCATTGATTTACAGTCGTAACTCAAGTGAGACACGGTATTCTTGTTATCTTAAAAATAAGGTAATGTGGTTTTCTTCGCTTTTTGCTGTTATTGTAAATGAAATTGTGTAAAACAGTAATTCTTGTTTAGTGATAATGTGCGAGTGTGGTGAAAGTGTTGAATGATGATGAAAGTATTTTCTTTTTTGGGGATTTTCTTTCTTTTTTTGGGGTCACCCTGCCTCGGTGGGAGACGGCCGACTTGTTGAAAAAAAAAAAATATTGTTGTGGTTACTTTGAGAACACAGTACCTACATACTGCTTGAAATATATTGACATGAAGGTTTTAAGGGCTTGAGAATCCAGCAGTCATGGTTGAGTTTGTTAAACCAGAGGGAAAACCAGTTAGCTAATCTTGAGTTCTTTAAGTGGGAAGGACGTTGCCTGCAATCCCGAGGATTGGTAATACAGTAGACCGTCGTTTAACATGGTAGTTATGTTCCTGAAAATGCTGTTAGTCAAAACTGTGCTAGACAAACTGAAGAACTTGGGGAGAAAAATAGGGTTATGTTCCTGGGAGTCCAAAAAAAGGCAAACAGCTTTTTTTTAGGCCAACAGATCTTACAAAAATAAAAGTGAATAAGTAATTGTAGTTCATTGTCGTGATGTATTATGTTGTTTTTACTGCATAAGATTACAAATGCAACATAAATAAGAGTATTTCTTACCTTAAATTGTGGGTGCTGGTGTTTGTGGATGATTGTGAAGAGTGAGGAGAGTTATGCTGTGGCCCTACTGGGCTGAGGTGGATGATAGAGGTACTGGTACTGAAGTTGATGGTTGTACTGGAGTGTGCATAAATTCTGTAAGGGATTTCTGTTCTGTTTTTCCTTACAGTATATTATACAATTGATTGTAAGGCATCAGCTGCTCTAGACACCATTTCAGGGTCCTCTTCAATGAAAAAGTCTAACTTTAAGTCATTCAGTAAGTCATTCAAGTCATTCAGTCAAGTTAGTCAGTCAGTCAGTCAAGTCAGTAAATCAGTCAGTCAGTCAAGTCAGTAAGTCAGTCAAGTCAGTCAGTAAGTCAGTCATCACACAATCACACAAACTCATGTATACCTCATTCTTTTTTTGTACAAAATGACGCTTCATTCCGGCTACAGGCTATCTCTTGTCTAACATCTCTATTTTCTTCGTTAATTCTGAGACATATATGCTTAAACCTTTTCTTGCAACTTTCATCAACACTTGTATGCCTACTGGGTGCCATGATTGCTTGGCAGATTTAAGATCTGGCAATTAATACGTATCTAAACAAACACAGCGAGCTACTGGAACGGGTTCGTCCAGCACATGTATGAACCGAACTGAAGGCTGGGAGGGTGGTTGAGATGGCTGATGCTGGCGGGGGAGTGCGGTAAGTCTCTACTGTTGACTCAGTGGTGTAACCCACAGCCCAGTCCAGCCCGCCCCGTGGGCAACCGCGCACTCAAAATTTTTTCCCCTCCCACAACCGTGTTAAATTAATTTTACGAAGTGTCAAACAAAAATATGCAGCAATTCTTCAATTGTGCTATAACCAAAATGTGCCATACAAAACCGTGTTAAACGACAGTCTACTGTATATTGAAGTGGCGGTTGTGTTAAAAACTTGGGAATCTGAAATAGTGTTATATATATGTAACCCTTTAATCATGTGTATTTAAATTTCATGAAACTGTGTATTTTGATGCACATTTAAAACTGAGCAACTGTGCATGAATACTCGTCATTAACCCTTAAATGGTCCAAACGTATATATACGTTTTTTTCAACATCTGAAAGTATGTAAAAAATGTAATCTTTTTTTTTTTTTTGTTTTACATGTGAAAACGTGTAAAAAAACTTTTATCTACATTTTTTTTGTTATATTTGAAAATATGTAAAAAAAAAGTAGATCTACTTTTGTAGCACTACGAATTTGAACGTCGATCTGTTTGGACCGTTTAAGGGTTAAGTTAATATCTCACTACTATACAGATAGAATAAAATGCATTATGTACTTAATCTTGCAGGTTGTTGCCATCCTGAAAGGGCACACAAAGAAAGTAACTTGTGTGGTGTATCATCCAACAGAGGACACCATTATAACTGCCTCACCAGATACTCAGGTCTGTTATGATATAATAGTGTTGTTTTTAATTGTATAGTGTAAACAGGAAAGGAATCCAGGAGATATCAATGTGATGTCGAATCTTTTTAATGTGTACTACTGTTTTTTACCTCAGTGACTGTCGTCTGCCAAGACAGGGTGACCCAAAGAAGGAAACACATTAACCATCATTCATTCATTACCAGAAGTGAACTGACATCTCATTTTAGATTATCCTCCAACTGCAACATCCCCACCCTTCCTTCAGAGTGTTGGCACTGCCCTTCCCACCTCCAGGATGAAAATCCAGCTGACCAATTTCCATGCCCCCTGTCATAAATATTTCCTTTCACACCCTCCAACAGCACGTCAATTAAAAACCACTTCTCTCCAGTCACTCATGTCTAACATGCTCTTACTAACCCGCTTACTACCCCTCCTACCTTCCACCTCAGATTTATAACTCTTCACCATCCTATCCCTCTACCCTCTCTACAAGTCCAAACCTCCTCAACAATCCCTCTTCATCTTTCTAAATTATGCCCTTAATGAACTCACATCGTCTTTTAAACTCTATACCAGTGGTTCTCAACCTGTGGTCTGCAGACCCCTGGTGGTCAATGAACTAAGTTTAAAATTTCAGGAGGCTGCAGTGCAAAATGTTTGATTACAGTAAGGCCGATAAAGAAAACTTTTACATCTCTGCTGCCTTTAGCCTCATCCTCACTTCAGCTTTCAAAACCCATGCCTTACAGTCATATAAGTATAGGTATCACTATACTCTCGTTACATTCCCATTTTTGACTCTGTAGATAAACTTTCTTTTCATAGTTGCCTCAATGCAACACCCACTTTTTTTTTCCTCATCTGTTTTATGGTTCACCTTGTCTTTCATAGACCCATCTGGTCACATGTCCACTCCCTAATATCTAAATACACCTGTTTCTTCCATACTCTCTCCAATTTGATATTCAGTCTATCATTGCCTAAACTTTTTTGTTATCTTCATCACCATTCTTTTTTATATTTACTTGTAATTTCCTTCTTTTGCATTCCTTCCCAAATTTATCAACTCTCCTTTGCAACTTGTCTTCAGAAATCCCCCAAAAGAAATATGTCTTCATCAAAGAGCAGCTGTGATACCTGTCACTTTGTATCATGTCCAACATCTTTTAATCTCACATCTCTTCCCAACACACTAGCATTCGTTTCTTTTGCAACCCTTCTGTAATTATGTTAAACAACCGTGCTGACATCACACATCCCTATCTAAGTCCTACTTTCACTGAGAAAGAAAAGAACACTGTAGTACCTGAGTATATATGTTCTGACTCTGGAATAATTCTGTTCAAAAATGTAATATTTAACCTCTTAACTTTGGCAGGTCCTTCATTTTTAACTAACCTATGTGTGTATGTATAACACATTTTATTACAGCTTGCAAGAGCTTACTTTTCTAAATAGATCTACAAAAAGGAAACTGTAATTAAAAAAAGATTAGCTGTCTTATAGTGTGTTGAAGATGAAAAATCATCGCTTATTAGCAATAGTGTACTAAATGCACAAAGCAATACTTACATCTTACAATTTATTGATGGCAAATTATGATTGTCTTTCAGACTATTCCTTGTTTTCAGTGTCTAACACTTTGTACACTTGTTTGTTAGGATGGTATTTAACCCTTTCAGGTCCAAGG